GTGCGAGAAAAACTCCTTCCCGGGTGAACCGAACCCGAACCTTCACTACATAAGCTGAGAGTTAAGATGAACCTGTAAAGCGAACCCGAACCTTCTCTACATAAGCTGTAAAGTGAACCCGAACCTTCACTACATAAGCTGAGAGTTAAGATGAACCTGTAAAGCGAACCCGAACCTTCTCTACGTAAGCTGTAAAGTGAACCCGAACCTTCACTACATAAGCTGAGAGTTAAGATGAACCTGTAAGCGACGAACCTTCTCTACAAGCTGTAAAGTGAACCCGAACCTTCACTACATAAGCTGAGAGTTAAGATGAACCTGTAAAGTGAACATGAACCTTCTCTACATAAGCTTCAAAGTGAACCCGAACCTTCACTACATAAGCTGAGAGTTAAGATGAACCTGTAAAGTGTAAATGGAATTCAATCTTTGGGTGTCTCCATGTGTAGTGTGGAGTGGGTGTGGGTGTATGAGAGTGTGGGCTGACCGTAGTGGGTGTGGGTGTATGAGTGTGGGTTGACCGTAGTGGGTTTGAAGGGGTCTGGTTTAACTGTGGAGGGAGGGTGTGTGAGGGTATGGTCGGACCCTGGAGGTTTTGGGTGGTAGTGTGGCTGAACCGGGGTGGGTATAAGGTGATGTGGTCGAGGTGTGGTCAGACAGGGTAGTGTGTAAGGAGGTGGCAGGTTATGTACTCGTCTTTATCATCAGTGTGGTAGTAGTAATGGTGTATATCGTCGTGTAGGACTCAAGAGAGGACTTGTACTCACCACCAGCCCCGTACTCTCAGCCCACCCCCTATACAGTACTCAGCCACAGCCCGTACTCTCACCACCCAGCCCCGTATACAGTACTCAGCCCACCCAGCCACTGCAGTATCACCCAAAACCTCAGTAGTTGGGTGTTGTTATGTCCGACTCTGTACTTGGTATGTCCGTATGTCGACTCTGTACTTAGTATGTCCGTCTCTGTACTTGGTATGTCCGCATGTCCGTCTCTGTACTTGGTATGTCCGTCTCTGTACTTGGTATGTCCGTATGTCCGTCTCTGTACTTGGTATGTTCGTATGTCCGTCTCTGTACTTGGTATGTCCGTCTCTGTTGCTCTACGCCCATAAAAAGGATTAAATAACTCATGTATTTCTCGTCACATAATGGATCGTGTAATAACTCTCTATTATATTTTGTTTAGGTCTTGTTGTTTTGTGGTGTTGCTGTACTTGTGTGTGTGTGTGTGTGTGTGTGTGTGTGTGTGTGTGTGTGTGTGTGTGTGTGTGTGTGTGTGTGTGTGTGTGTGTGTGTGTGTGTGTGTGTGTGTGTGTGTGTGTGTGTGTGTGTGTGTGTGTGTGTGTGTGTGTGGAGGAATTTATAGAAGAAAAGCAATAGTATATAGTGGGGGATGGAGGGAGGAGAGATAGGGATGAATGTGTCTCCCCCTCTCCCCCTCTCCCCCTCTCCCCCCCCTCTCCCCTCTCCCTTCTCCCCCTCCCCCCTCCTTCCTTCAGTGGTCATGCCCGGGGAAGGGAGGAAGGAAGGTTCAGTGGTGATTCACACTGGTAGTGCATGACTCAAGTGTGACTCATCGTCCATACTGTGCTAGCCCTCACCATCCTCCCACTGCCCCCCCTCCTGCCCCCCTCACTGCCCCCCCCTGCCCCCCCCTCCTGCCCCCCCCTCCTGCCCCCCCCCTCCCCTCCCTCATTCCTCACCCCCTCCTGCCGCCCTTTTGACTGTTACCGCATCCATCTCGTCCCTCATCGCCCTCCCTCACTCCCTCATCCTCCCTCCTCCATCCCCTCCCTCACTCATTCCTTCATCACTCCCTCACTCATCCCCTCCCTCACTCATTCCCTTCATCACTCCCTCACTCATCCCTCTCACTCATTCCCTTCATCACTCCCTCATTCCTCCCATCACCCACAGCGTGTATGAGTGTTGTTCAAGTGTGAGTAGAAGAAGTTAGGGCGTGATAGTAGGTTAGTTAGCCTCTGTTTTGGTAGGATGGGTAATGGTAGTGGTGGTAGGAGGAGGCCATGATAGTAGTGGTTGAGGTAGGAGGCCATGATAGTAGTGAGGTAGGAGGCCATGATAGTAGTGTGGTACTGATATGGGAACCTTGGACTGCGGTCACCTCCTCCTCCTCCTCTTCTCACTACTGTCCAACAACCTTAAACCATCAATACCACTACTAAACTACCCTTACCTCTACCCCCCTCACCCCCACCTCCCCTCACTCCCACCTCCCCTCACTCCCTCACCCCCACCTCCCCTCACTTCCCCCCTCCTCCACCTCCCCTCCCACTTCCCCTCACCCCCATCTCCCCTCACTTCCTCCTCCCCTCCCCTCCCTTCCCTCCCCATTTCCTCCCCCCCTCCCCTCACCCCCACCTCCCCTCACTCCCCACCCCTCACCTCCCCACCTCCCCTCACCTCCCCACCTCCCCTCACTTCCCTCCTCCCCTCACTTCCCCTCACCCCCTCCCCACTTCCCCCCTCACCCACTTCCCTCCCCCTGACCAAAGCTAACACATTAAACATCATCTGATACGAGGACTTGCACCCCACGCCCAGCAGTCACCCCACGCCCAGTCACCCCACGCCCACACTGTCAACACACGCTGTATATACTCTTGGGGGGACCTGTATTGAATGACACACGAGGCACCTGTGTTGACAAAGGCACCGTGGCACTCAACTCACAGTCACCCCCGTCCACCCCGTGTCCTTAGAGTCTTCAGGTGGACCAGATGACCTTGTGGTGTGCTCCCCGCGCGTCTGCAGTCACCACGCCCACCACGCCCACACGAGTCTCTAGCGCAACATTAGAAAGAAAATGGTGGTGGGGGGTGCTGGACCACTAAGTCAAGCTCCATGTTGTACCGCAAGACACACACATATCCTGGTCACCACACACATCCTGGTCACCACTACACACACCACTACACATCCTGGTCACCACACACACCCACTGCACATCCTGGTCACCACTACACATCCATACCACCACACATCCTGGTCACCACTACACATCCTGGTCACACCACCACACATCCTGGTCACCACACACACCCACTGCACATCCTGGTCACCACTACACATCCTGGTCACCACTCACACACACCACCACACTCCATCACACACACACACCACTACACATCCTGGTCACCACTCACACCCACCACTACACATCCTGGTCACCACTACACAAACCACTACACATCCTGGTCACCACCACATCCTGGTCACCACCACAACCACACACATCCTGGTCACCACTACACATCCTGGTCACCACTACACACACCACTCACACATCCTGGTCACCACTACACATCCTGGTCACCACTACACCACCACACATCCTGGTCACCACCACATCCTGGTCACCACTACACCCATCAGTCTTCACCTCTTATCTCATCATTGTGTATTACTGCTCAACGACTCTTACTCACGTTCACCACTGTGGTGTGTGTGTGTGTGTGTGTGTGTGTGTGTGTGTGTGTGTGTGTGTGTGTGTGAGGCTGCTAGACCAACACCCTCTCAGGAACAACATACAGACACACGCTCCATGCCTGTCCCTGAACGCGCTTTGAATACCTTTATAACTTGTAACCAAACCTTGACATAATTATAACCAGTGAGAGTTTAACAACAACAACATCAACATCATCATCAACAAAAACAACATCAACAACAGCAACAACTACATCAATTATCAACAACAACAACAACAGATTTATTTATGTAAAGTCAGTATTGATGTTAGGTGCAGAGCCAAGTAGGTTAATGTGAGGCAAACATCTTGTGTGTGTGTGTGTGTGTGTGTGTGTGTGTGTGTGTGTGTGTGTGTGTGTGTGTGTGTGTGTGTGTGTGTGCCTAGGACCTCCAGCTTGGGCACCGTGCAGGACCTACAACAACAGGAGTAGTTATGATGAATACAAAGCTGGTTATCGTAGCCAGCTGCTCGCTCGGTTAACGTAGCTCCTCCTTATGTAAGATACACCAACGGTAGGTGCTTCTGAGAGAGAGAGAGAGAGAGAGAGAGAGAGAGAGAGAGAGAGAGAGAGAGAGAGAGAGATTCCCTCTCCCAAGCATTCCACAACGGCCAGATAAATCCTTTTTTAATGTGCTCTCCAGGGGTCTATAACGGCGCCAGTTATGTCAGTGCTTCCTTTCCCGTATGTACATTGGTATAACATGTACACTTTTCTATGAGAACAACTGCACCATCAACACCACCACCCACCACCATCACCACCACCATCACCATCACCACCACCACCACCACCACCACCACCACCACTCACCACCATCACCACTACCACCACCACCACTCACCACCACCATCACCACCACCACCATCACCACCACCACATCACCACCATCACCACCACCACCACCACCACATCACCACCACCACCACCACCACCACCACCACATCACCACCATCCGCCACTCACCGGAAGCTGTTGTTCCTGACGTCCTCTGTCTCATAGTCTTCCCAACACCAGGAGGAGGAGGAGAAGAAGAAGGGGGAGGAGGAGAAGTGTAAGGAAGAGAGGATTAGGAAGAAAAAGGAACACCTGAGTATAAGTGTGTGGGAGCAGAGAGAAGGAGGAGGAGGGAGAAGGAGGAGGAGGAGTAGGAGTAGGAGAGCATTTGGAACTTGACGCCCCTGGGTTGAGGAGAATGTCGGGACTACTGTTAGGTCGAGAGGTAAACGCTTGGGGTCTAGTGTTACCTGTGTGTGTGTGTGTGTGTGTGTGTGTGTGTGTGTGTGTGTTCATAACCTCTGCCACAATCTTCACTATTATTATTATTATTATTATTATTATTATTATTATTATTATTATGATTATTCGCCTCCTCACGTTACACTATATCTCACACACACACACACACACACACACACACACACACTCACCATTACTTTCACAATCTATCATCCTTCGTCGCCACCACCACCAAGGTAACTAACACTGTGTCTTCTCTCTCCCACAGGACCAATGGGAGTGTATCGCAGGTCACACACAGAAGGGCATCACCTTCCTGGAGCAGTACGGTCACTTCGTCAAAGACAGATGCCAGATCGAGTTAGAATACGCCAGAGGTCTCAGGTGAGGATGGCTGGACCTGTGTCTCTTGTTCTTCCCTCTATTTTACGGATTATAGAGGAAATTCCGTTATATAGAGGGTTCGTTTGATGTGAAACCTTTATTTAACGGACTATATGGAGAGCAAATTCCGCTATATTGAGTGTCTGTTAGATGTTAAACCTCCATCTAACAAACTATATAGGTGGGTGGAATCCGTTATTGAGAAATCCGGTATTGAGAGAGTTTACTGTATCCATTACTTTATTGAGAAATCCGGTATTGAGAGGGTTATTTATACGATAAAGGTGACCTAGATAGAACCAACTATATATAAGTACATTATATAACACTGACTTACCACGGCACGTTAAGTAACTGCCTTGGTGAGTGGTGCTTCCTTGGTGAGTGGTGCTTCCTTGGCGAGTGGTGCTTCCTTGGCGAGTGGTGCTTCCTTGGTGAGTGGTGCTTCCTTGGCGAGTGGTGCTTCCTTGGTGAGTGGTTAAAGAGGCTGTGTGGTGCATCACTAAGCCTCGGTCACCTCCCATACCAACGTTCACTCACCACATTGACGACGTAACTCATAGTCATAGTCATTTAGATATATATATATAGTATGGATGAGTAATTTGTGGTTATAGACATAATTATATGATAATCTCGACCATATAGGTGTACAGTATATGATAAGCTGCTATGTTGCACGAGTGAGTTTTAAATTTGTATGGAATTATTAGATCGTGGAGAAGGAGAGTTTAGGAGGGCGTGTTGTGAAAGAGAGAGAGAGAGAGAGAGAGAGAGAGAGAGGTTAGGTTTAGCAGTAGTCAGTGTGGGTACTAACGAGAGAGTTCACCATCATAACAGCCACAGTTATGTCGAGGCCACAACACATTGGTGGTGGTCAAGCTCCTCCAGATCGGTGTTGTGGACAGAGCCAACCATGGAGGAGCATCGTTTAGTGTGTGTGTGTGTGTGTGTGTGTGTGTACAGAAAACATAGTGGGTGCCCTCATTGTCTTGACCAACTTTGTATTTGACTGTTGTTGTTGGAGCTGTGTGTGGGAAGGGGTGCGTTGGGGGGTCCTGCTCCTCTCACACACACACACACACACACACACACACACACACACAAAAGGATGATATTAATGTTAGATTGAATTAAACGTACAGTGATGGAGACGTTATAGTAGTAGTAGTCGTAGTTGTAATAGTAGTAGTCGTAGTAGTAGTAGTCGTAGTAGAAAAGATGGTTGTTTATTTCCCATTTAAAGAACAGTCATACGAGGAAGTAGGTGTTGGGACATTTGGTAAGGCAACAGTGGCTCAATAACACTGTGAAAGGTGGTGCTTCAGGAGGTGACCAAACGGCGCTGTGGAATGTTCTTTGTTGGCGTAATGGTCTTTGTTGTGTACGAGGTGAGGTGTGGTGGTGCCGGTGCTGGCGTATTGATGATGATAATGGAGATAAAATGTCAATGGTTTGCCATGGGAAGGGAGAGAAGAGGTAAGTTATGAAACGGGAAGTAATGTAGTAGAAAATAAGAGCAGGTGATGGTCATGCCCTGCGTTTTTATACCACCACTTCTCCTCCCTCCCACCACAAGGTTGACCTCCATCATAATCAAAACCCCTTCTCAAACCCCCTTCAAACCCCCTTCCTCAACCCCCCTCATAATTCTCTCAAAATTTCCTCAAACTTCTAACCTCCCCCACACCCCCTGCCTGTGAGTGTATCTGCCGTGTCAACTCATAAGCGGCGCCTTTATGTCTCCCAGAACTGTTGACACACTTACCATAAACACACACACGTCTAAATCTCATTTAAGTTTGTATATTTTCAGCCACCGACTGCAACTCTATTAATAAAGCGTTTATTATTATTATTATTATTATTATTATTATTATTATTATTATTATTATTATTATTATTATTATTATTATTATTATTATTATTACACACACGACCATGAAAGCTACATTGGAAAAGAAAACAAAGTAAGGGTTGATTCACTACTGCAACAAGAGGGAATGGTATGTGCTTTATCTACTGTGGAGGTGTATTACTGAGAGGAGGGGGGGGAGAGAAGGTGCCTTCACGATGTTTATACAGATTACCGCCCAGTACACCGTCAAGGTTCACTACATTGCCTGAGTAGTGTCGTCACCAGTACTACACCTTGTAGCGTCATGAGGTGTTCATAGTTACACAACACCTTACAGGGATTTATTTATTTATTATTTATTTTATTGGTTGATGTGTCCAGTGCTGATAAATTCGCAGTATTTATTTAATGGCTGAGCATATAACCAGGAGTTGTTTATTATTCTTAACAATAGATGGGATGGTGCTGTTCTCTATCTATCGGTACGGGCTCTTATGGGCTGAATTTTGTTGTAGTAGCGGACTGCGCGAGTTGGGTGGGGGGCTGCAGGTGGCAGAAGGTGGCGATGACGAGGGTGGTGCAGTAGTCCCCTGCCAAACCTTTCTAGTGCTTGGTGGTGGAGGTCACTGAGGGATGGTATTTCCAGGGTGGAGAGAGCGTTGGTGTAGCCGGAGTATTCTGCGCCGAGCATGATTCTGCAGGCCCTTTTCTGTACCTTCTCTAGCTGACGTTGTTGGGTGGAGTTGAGAGAACACGACCAGGCTGGTGACGCATACGTTAGTTTGGGGAGAATAAAAGCGTTGTAGATGGTCCTCAGCTCTGGCGTGGGTGTCCCAAGTGACATAAGTCGTCGTAGCATGTAGAGACGATACGAGGCTGCCTTGTGTGTGTGTGTGTGTGTGTGTGTGAGGTTGCCTTCGTCATGGATGGTGGGACAGTTTCTCCTCCGGTAATAATGTGGAGTGATGTGTGGGCCTTCTCTCACCATCATCTCTTACTCTCAAGGAAGGCTGGGAATGTGGGCGTGGTGCGGTAGGGTGTACTAGGAAGTGAGTGGTGTAGGTGTGGTGGGAATTAATACAGGTTGTGGAGTGGGTAATGGTCATGAGGGGGAGGTGTGTGTGTGTGTGTGTCACTACTTTTCTTGTGCTGCTTTCACCTGTGGGGGATATCATTGCACCCACCCACCCACCCACCCGCCCGCCCGCCTATAGCCTACACCCTCCCCCTTCACCTATACGCCCTTCCTGTTAACATACGCCCTCCTCCACTCTCTTCCACTCCGTCCACCTACATCAACTCCGTCCACCACACACCCACCCCGTCCACCCACCACCCCGTATTCAACCTCACGCCACCTCCGGGTCGTCATTGAGTGGCAGAAGGGACTATCAGTGTTAGGTCGGTGATTCAGTGTCATTTGGGGTCTTTAGTGGTAGCGAGTGAGGACCCTAGTAGTGGCAGTGAGGTCCCTAGAGGCATCAGTAAGAGGTCCCAGTGGTAGTAGGACCTAGTATCAGTAGGGGGGGGTAGGGAGGGCAGTGGCGTGAGGAAGAGTCTCACTGTTCTCCTGTTAATTCTCGCCAGCATCAGGAAGGCCCATTGGATGTGTCACGGCGGTGCATGCCCCACGTGGGGGGGCTGTGGTGGTGTGGGGGGTGGCTGTGTGGCGGGGGGCTGTAGGTTTGGGGGGGCTGTGGGTGGTGTATGGGGGCTGTGGTGGCGGGGCTGTGGTGGTGTATGGGGGGGCTGTGGTGGTGTGAGTGTGGCAAGTGCTATGGGAGTGTGGCACAACACTTTAGTTACGGTCACCACACGTATTACCTCCACGAGAAGCGCCGCTCATCATCACCAAAGAGAATGTCGTTCTTGTGATCCTGCGGCTGTCACATTCCTAAGCCCACCCCTCCCTTCCCAAGGCTGACACCTTCTCACGCCTGCCTATCCCGGCTTTCCCACCCGTGGCAGACACTTTCTCACGTCTGTCCACTCTCTAACCCCTTGTCCATACCGACCCACGCCCACTCCACCCACTTCTTACTGTCCATCCACTCCACTCATTTCTCACCCCCCCCGTCCCCATTGAAATCCCACAACTCCCCACACAGTACTCAGTCTGCCCCGTGAGTACACTTAGGGTTCTTGTAAAGTACGGTACTACCTCTTTTGTAGCATATAAGCTCTTGGTCAACTCTAAGGCTTATAAACTTTGTTCATTTCTGAGAGTTTTATACTTTGATCATCCCTGAAGGTGGTAGACTTGGGCACCCTTATTGCAGGTAAGTTAAAGGTGTTGCAGCGGCAGGTAACGTCACCTCTGGGGTGTACAACCAGTAAACAATGGTCGTGTGTTGAGGTGATGATGGCAACACTATCCTCCACGGGTCGCCACCATCCTCGTCAACCTCTCGCCACACTTCCCCCTTTCCTTTATGGCGGAGTTTTCACTGTTGACGGCAGTACATCAGCCTTGAGGGTCTTGTTTATACATAAAGGAGGCGTAAAGGGGGGTGTAGTTGCAGCCACCGGGGAGATATCTGACGGTGTGTGTGTCAGGAGAATCAGTATGTCCAGGCAGGTGTTGTGTTGAGGGTTTTTGTTGACCTGATTTACTGACCTCCTGCTGGGGGAAGACTTAGCTGTAGAGGGAGCACCTTGTTACGAGAGAGCAGTACGGGGATCTTGTCTCGTCTGTGTGATAGCTTAATGTAATGGTGGTGGTGACCAGCGATAGTGGCCGTACACACGAGGGTTGGCCTGCTGGTGGGAGTGATGGTGTGCTGAGAGTGCCACAGGAGTAATGGGGTGCCGGGAGTGCCAAGAGTGCCAGGAGTGATGGTGTGCTGAGAGTGCCACAGGAGTAATGGGGTGCCGGGAGTGATGGTGTGCTGAGAGTGCCACAGGAGTAATGGGGTGCCGGGAGTGCCAAGAGTGCCAGGAGTGATGGTGTGCTGAGAGTGCCACAGGAGTAATGGGGTGCCGGGAGTGCCAAGAGTGCCAGGAGTGGTGGGAGATTATATTAGGCCACAAGAAATAAGTAAAGCCTCTTTAAGCTGAGTGATTCCTTATAAAAGCTTTTCATAATATCTTATTACATTATAGAGATTGTTGTAGAAGCGGTTAGGTTAGGTTAGGTTAGGTT